ATTCCCGCCCTTCTGGCTTGTCATACCCCCATCTTTCCTGCCGTAGTGGCTGGGGCAGCAGCTCCCCTGAAGTCTTACAGGAATCCACCTTGAGAGGCATGTGTGGTTGCCTCTTCTCCAAACACGCCAGGCCTGGCCTCTCAGCCAAAGAAAATTGTAAGGCAATAAACAAGTGGGAGGACACTAGCACACCATAATAATTAATCTACATATTGTACCATTAAATCGGGGGTTGCCCACAGTGGCTCGTGGCCAGATGTAGCTCACGGACAGGTTGCGTTTATCTGACAGGGTGGAAAGATTTTTGTTTTTAATTTATCTTGTGTTTTTTGTTTTTGTTTTTGTTTTTTTTGTTTTTACACTGGTCACCACCACTTAAACATCCCTGAACGTATACTTAAGTATAGAAAGGGCTGTATTCTCTCAGTAACTTTGGGACTCTATTCCTGTGCTGCCTCCAGTTCACTCGTTGTAGAAACCTTTTCTTAGCTGCTGCTGCTGGAACCTAGGAGGTGTGGAGTTTGTAGTGTTCCCATTCTACAGATAAGGAGCCTGGGGCCCTGAGGGAACGGGCTAGGCCACTCGCCAAGCTGGCCTAAACTTCCATCCTTATCATCCATGGTGCCTGGCGTCACTGCCTCCCAACCATGTCCCACCTCCTCTGGCTTGCCATGCAAAGAAACCATTCCTAGGCCCAATGACTCAAAACTAAGCCAGAAGAATGATCCCAGCCTCTCTTCTCCCTTCCACCCCTCCCCAGGCCGGAGGGGACATGGGAAGCCTATTCATTTAAACTCAATTATTTTCTTGAAGACAGAATGGAACTGAATTGGGTCAGCGGCTATATTTGCTGTGCTCAGCTGTTTTCTCTGCTACACCATCACCCACCGGGTCTGTTTCTGGCTCTGTGCCACCAAGCTCACCAATTACAACTCCTTATCTGTGGCCTTTTCTCGTCCATAGTGTGGGAGAGAGGAGCTAGGAGTGAAACCTGTCACTTCCAACAAGCTGTAGGACCTGGCCTCTGGGGCTTGGGCACCCTTGGTCACCACTTCCCAGGCCAGGCTTTAGGTTTGGGGCGGCAGTCTGCAGACATGGTGCTTCTGGCAGTCTCTGCAGATGGACGAAGGCTCAGAGAAATTGAGTGCTTGCTGGAGTTCGAGGCTTGGAGTCAGGCACAGCGTCTTGACTAGCTATGTGGCTTGCAGTAGAGAGTCTCACTGTTGTGCACATCTGGCTGCACATCTGTAAAGGGCACATAGCTAGCCATGCTAGGCTGCCTGGTGTAAATGAGAAATGGGACCTCAGTGGCTAGCCTCGGGCTAACTCCCTGATGGTGACCAGGACCTTGAGTGTCAAGCACAGAGTTTGGTGGGGGACGCAGGTCTCAGAACAAAGGATGCTCTCCTCTGTGAAACCATGTTGTGCCTCCAGGCCTCCCCGGCACCAGACACTTGAACAGCTTCCTGTGGGCCCACAGTTGCATATATTTTCATTTAGTCCTGATGCTGGGGTGCTCTCCCGTCACTAAACTGTCAGCTTCCTGAGGGAGGGCAAAGACCAGTGTCAGGCTCTGCTATTTGGAGCCTGGTGGCTCTGCCTTCCTGATGGGTAGCCTTGTACTGGCTGGTCCTCATCTGGGAGGGAGGGGCAGTTACCCATTCCTTCCCTCTGACCTACTAGGCAGGGAGGCCAGGCGCGTCTTCTGTGGCAGCCTAGTGTAACATGCCTGCGTGGAATGGATTGGGGAAACATGAAGAGGAGATCAAGTCAGAGGCTGCCTCTCCACCTCCTGAAGCAGGAATGTCCAAGGGAGGTGAGACACTGGCGAGTCGGGGAGGGGCTGTGCATGATATGACGTCCTTGTCCGTAGTTCCTCCCTGGCCATGTGCCCTGTGAGGTTGGAGCAGGGACTGCTTTGGCTTTGGCTATGTGACTGTCCAGAACTGAGGCAGGGCCGATGTGGGCACTCACTAGCAACTGCTGACCTCCAGGCATGTAGGTAATAGTGTCTGGTATTAGCTCACTTCTTGTGGTAGGGCCTCTGGGAGTAGAGCGAGACCTCCCATGCCCACCCCCATGATATTGCCAGGGTTGGAGGTAAGAGCACAGTTTGGAGAGGTTTGAACTTCCTGGGCCTTTGAGGAAGCCTGTGTGTGAACTCTGGCATGGGGCTGATGTACACATAGGCCACACAGTGGTGGCGTGGGGACAGGACTTGGAGACTGGGCAGTGGCCTAGCTCAAGACAGGGAAACAAGGCTGTCTCTGGAGGGCAGACCTCAGGGAGGGGGCACTGGGCACAGGTGGATCCCAGTGTGGAGTACACTCGGGCCAGCAGTCACAGAGGTGGGTGGCCACTCTCTCCCCCTCCTTGCCTCTTGATAATACCAGTCCCTGCCACCTTGTACATTGCTGCCCAGTAATACCCAACGAAGATGCTGACCCCGTCAGGAGAGTTTCCTTCAGAAGCAACATCACGTGGTGGGAATTGACTCCCGCTAGATGCTTTGATGGAAACATGACATTTTGGAAGCCAACACGTGTCAACATCACTATAGGGGAAAGGTTCCAGGCTCTTCTGTCAGCTGAGGTCATCACCAGACACTGGCTGGAGGCCTGGTGGATCGGGGTGCCACAGCCAAGCTGGTAGCGGGGCATGGGGCAGAGGAAGCCAGAGGGCTGGGAGCCTGGCTGGCCTATCAGGAGGAGAGGGGGGGGAAGGACATACATCCCCACCACCTGCCCCCAGGTGATGGGGGTGCAAAGGCAGGATCCGATAGCAGGGGCTCTTGGATGAGAGAGGCAGGCTGGACCAGGTTGTAGAGGGCCCTGGGACCAGGAACTAGCTGTGTGACGTGGGCGGCTTTCCCACCCTCTGCTCCACTTGATTTTCAGCCTGATGTAGTGTGACTACCCTTGCTGTTGCTGGGGGCTTAAGGAGACAGTGCATGTAAATACCTCACATGGAGCCTGGCACAGAGCAGGCACCAGAATGAGTTTGTTGTTGGTTAGTAGTGATAAAGCCACACGAAAGTTAACAGCAAATGGCAGGGCAGGAAGTCCTGTCATTTTGTTATAATAAAGTATTAGAACTGGTGGGAGCCAGTTGTGATAGTGCATGCCTGTAACCCTCGCTCCCTAGTTAGGAAAATCTCCTTCTCTCTCTCTCTCTCTCTCTCTCTCTCTCTCTCTCTCCCTCTCTCCCCCCTCCTCTCTTTCTCAATCAAAATCAACTTGCAAGATGGTTTCCCACCTAGAGGAAATCTAGGAAGGCTTCCAGAAGGAAGGAGTATTTGAACTGGGGAATGAGACAAGAGGCCCAGACACTGGGTAGAGACTTATCTGGGGTGAAGCACATGTACTTCGGAATGTAATGTCCATCTGTGGAGCTTCTGTCTAGGCCCAAGTCCAGCCTAGCATCCCCTCCACCCTTCTGCCTGTGACTGATAGGCAAACCCAGGCCTTATCTGGATTTTGATTTGTGTTGCTTTTTTTTTTTAACTGCTATTAGAATACAGAGTTAAGGAAGTACAAAGCGGGATTTCACTGACATTTACACACATGTATACAACAGATTCTGGTCAAACCCCCCTTCTCCTCCATCTACCACCCTCCTTTACCTCCTTGCTCCTGTTGCATTTTAAAAGTGTTTGAATGGAACTGGGGGCGGGGCTTTAGCTCTGGCAGGTCTTCTGGATGTGCTCCTTTGATCCTGGAGATCCAGGAGCCCAGCCAGAGAGCTATGGGAACAGCTTTTGGGGTAGGAAAGGGGGGTTGCAAGGCCAGACCCAAGTCCCTTTATCAGTCATACCAGGCATTTTCTCTCCTTATTACCGTGTCCCACCCTCCCACCCCACCCCATACCCAGAATGCCCTGGAGCTGGGACAGGTCTTGAGTGGGAAGTGGTTGCAGCTGGAGACAGCTGGCCCTGGAATGTCACTGGCCACCAAGCCTGGGAAGGGAAGGGCCCATTGCTGCAGGATGGGCGGGACTTGAATGGGTCTGGAGGGCCTAGTAGGACAGGGGCGGAGCTGGAGGACAGTTCTGCTTAGGTTCAGGGTGTGGCAAGCCAAAGGAAGTCTGGAATGTCTGGTGAGTGTGCTGGGGTGCGTGGTCTTTGGTTATCCCAGCTCCCTTTAGTTTCTTTTTACTTTCTTGTGGTTCTGGGATTGAACCCAGGCCTTTGCTCATGTTAGCACTCTGCTGCTGAGCTGTGTCTCCTGTCAGCTCCTTTTTAACATGACTCTGGCTGACCTGGCTCAGACCAGCTAGGAAAATACATTTATTCTTTCTATACATCTGTTAGTATCCACTTTGTGCGGGAACTGGTTCAAGGTACACTGGGTGTGACAGGGTGAACCAGCATGATTCTGTTGGTGGGGAAAAGGGGACAGACAAGTCAGATGACCTCAGGTTGGTGCTATGAAGAAAATGCAGCAGGCTGATAAGCATGGGTAGGACTTTAGCTGTGTTAGCACAGGAGCGGCTATTCTAAGCTAGGTCTTTTGATCCAACACGAGAACGAGAAGAAGAAGCCAGCTTTGCTTTGCGTTAATTAGAAGGCTGGTTGGGGAATAGCAAGTGCAAAGGCCCAGAGGCAGAACCTCAGGGGGCTGGAGCTGGCCCTGGGCGGAGCCAGTCTTATGTGGGACTGCCGCTCCTCCAGCTTCCTGGAGTTGCTCATGCTGTGCCTGCGCTCTGCCAAGCGGAGAGGCCCGGGGAGTGAAACTTGCCCATGGCTAGGAGCAGTTTTTTCACTTTCCAGAGCTGGTCTGTGCTTTTTAGACCTGAAGGTTCTGATTTGTGGTTGGTTACCTGTACTGAAGACTGTAATTTTCCACTTGTTCCCTGAAGTACCCGGAAATCTCTGGATGTTGTCACCACTGTGTTTTTTTCAAGTTCTTTGGGGAATTTCAACTTGGAGACAGACTCTGCGTGCTCTGTGGTACGGGGAGGCCTTCGGGGCACACCTCGTCCATGAAGGCCCTGGCTGAGCGGTCCCCTCATCTGGCCTGGAGAGTCAGCTGGACGTGTGCCACTCTTGGGAATGGGCCTTTGTGGACTGGGACTTCTCGGTGACAACCTTGGCAAGATCCTCGGCCGGGCTGGAGGGGCTGCTCTGTGGAAACCCGGCCAGCCTCGGAAGCCTGACCTGGCTGCCGGGCCTCAGCTGCCCGCACGCAGGTCAGCAGAGGGGCCTGTGCTCCAGCCACTGCCCAGGTCTGTGGAGGGCTCTGTGGGATGGAGACAAGGGGCAGGGGAGACTTCCTCCCCTCCCTGCCTCTTGAGTTGGAGACTCCAACCTGGGGTGGAGCGGCCCAGGCCTCTGATTGGAGTGGGGTGGACTGGACAGTGAGGGGCTGGCCAGCTCTAGAGGGCAGGCTGGCCAGTGCCTGCCTCCATCGGCCATCTGCTCACCCAGATCCCTCCTCAGACCCCCCCCCCCGGGTTTGTGAGGAAGAGTGGGGGGGCGGGCTGAGGGGGGTTGCTGGCCTGTGTCCTGACCCACAGAGCTGAACATTCCTCTTCCTGTCCTCTGAGGGACTAGAACACAGCACAGAGGAAGCGGGGATCCCTATAAAGTGGGTCTCCTAGGATTCGCTGTTAACTTTACTTACTTTACTTCTGGGCTGGGAAGGTGGGCAAGCTTGCTGAGCTAAGGTTACCCCAAGTCCTGCACTCTTATCCTGGGGCACCTTGCCCAGGAAAGGACAGAGGTAAAGCCGCCGGCTGCCCTGGCGCCCTCCGTCTTTGCCCGCCACTGCCTCTCCCAGACAGATTTAATAATCTGAGTCTGTCTCTTGCAGTTAGTATTGAAGAAGAGAAGCTTTACTCTTAAAACTTTTATTGATCCAGACACTAATAAAAAGTAAAGGGTTTTTGGAGCAGATCTTTCTTTCCTGCTTGAGCAAAGAACATCCGAGCTCTAAAATACGTTTGTTTTCCTCCTCCTCTGAGGTGTGGGGAGGGGACAAGGGTTGGCCTTGCTGAGACCTCGCCTCTTTCAGAACGCGCTGCCTCTACTGCTCAGACCTGTGTCGTGTATCTGTCTCCGAGAGGGACTGGCCTGCCATCAGGGCATATCACTTCCTTCTCCCCCGAGGCCCTGGTGGGAGCCATGGAGCCGTGATTCTTGATTTTTTTGTGTCTTTCTGATGTTGGTACCTTGGCTGGGAACCAAGTGAAGGCCATGGTCCTTGTTTTTGCTTATACAGTTTGTAAATATTAAGTTTATGCCATGCTGTACTCTCTCTAAAGACATACACAACAGCCACACAGATCTTACCTTGTGGTGGGGGAAACAGAGTGATTCCCATTGGGTGAAGTTCCCCTGCCTAAAATAGTGCCTGGCACATAGTTTGCACTTAATGTTTGCTGGCTGAATGAGCTGCATGCTATGAAGGTAACAAGCCACATGTTTCCCTGAGGAGTAATGGGGGTGGGGCAGGGCCTGTTGTGGAGCTGGCTGTGGGGGAAGGAGGAGTTCCAGGAGGTAGATGCCCTGCTATTCAGAGAAGGGAGTGGAGTAGAACTAGCCCAGGAAGCAAATGTGACCCCCCTGAGGAGAGGCAGGTTTTGCTGGATAAAGTCAGAGGGAAGGCAGGCCACTTCTGCCAAGCAGTCCTGGGGGCGTCACTGAAGGTTTACCCTAGGGGCTAAACAGTGTGCTCTGTGTTTCTCAAGGGTCCCCCTGACTTCCTGGTAGAATACAGTGTCCAGGGGCAGGAGCTGCCAGGGCCTGGTGGTTTTAGAGCACTAGCAGTAGGATGTGCTAATAATGGATGGGACTCTGAAGGTGAGGGCAAAGAGGGCATGTTCTTGTCCTGAGACTCCTGGCCCGCTTATGAGACAGGCTCCATGTAAGACTTCTCAGGCCTGAGGATCCATGAGCTGTGGGTCAGCAGTTAGGAGTCTGAAACTGAGAGGCGGGGAGTCTAGTGATATAAATTGAGGAGTTGTGGGAACTCAGGGAGGGGAGGTATTTAAAGCTATACGATGAGATCACCAGAGGAAAGTGTGTGGCTGAAAAAGATGCCTTAAGAACTAGAGCCCTGAGAATCCCCCATACTTAGAGGAATGAAAGCCGGTGTGGCCAGCCTCAAAGGAGCAAGCTGGCCTGTGCAGTACGAAGGCAGGACGAGTGGGTCGTAACAAACAAGAGGAGTTGGGGGCAGCAGTGGGAGGGAGGGAGGGCAGTGGGAAGCTGGAAAGGGGAGGCCAAGCCAGGGTCTCAAGTGTTCCCTGTCAGTGATCTTTGGTGACCATGGTTTACCCTGTGGATATTAACCTTGGACCTACATTAAAATTCTCTTATCAGAATTCCCATAGATGCTAATTCAAGGACACATGTTTCTACCCCCCCCCCCAGTAATGGGCCCACTAATTGCTTTGTGTTTATCTCACTCTTTTGTACTCATGCTGAGACTGCTGACTGTCTTGTCCCTTCTATCTCCTTTCCTTGCCCAATCTCTCTCTCTTTCTCTCTCTTATTGGGTCCTAGGCCCTTTATCTATGCCAAGGATCTTTCTTAGAGTACAGGTAGACTTCTTTACACTGGAAGGTTTCTTTGTGTGCTTCAGGAGATGTTTGGAGACTTTCACAGAATATTTTAGTGGTGGCTAGGACCATTACCTCCCCCCAAGCTTGGATGGTTCTTGTGAGAGTTGAGAGTACGTTTAATTTGCTGTGAGGAGCTGGGGATGACCTAAAGTCTGATGGATCCCTGGTGTGTTCCCACTGATTGTTGAGTGACTGGAGATTTTGAGTCTTCAGGGTTCTTCGTTTGTTTATAAAGTGCTTTTTCTGCATCTGGTTAACCAGTATTTTTACATTTGCTATCTGCAGAGGACATTATGTGACTTCATTTTATACATGAGGAAACTGAGGTTCAGGAAAGTGAAAGCACTTGTCCAATTTGCTGCAGTTGCTAGGTACCACAATCAAAGCATGCACATTCCCCAAACCAGACCTCTCCTTCCTGCTTAACCACATAAATCAAGATGGGCTTTAAGATACCCAGACTCCTACCACATTTTAGGGATTGCAGTCATATCTGCCAGGGCTTACCTGGCAGTCCCCCCTGTCCCTGACCACCCTGATGTTTAACACCCCTTCTGTACATAGGCACCAGATGCATCTGGTTCAGAGAGGATGAGCCAAGGTAGGCCTTGAACCTTGTCTAGCCTTGGGGTGCTTATGGCAAAGGGGGCCCCAGCTTCGGGGTTGCTGTTTGTGCTACAGCTGTGGGGCTTGTATTTTTACGGCTGATGTAGCACTTCTAGGCAGAGCTAGCTGCCTTGGGACATGTGCCACGGAAGACCCTCAGAGTAGGAGACAGACCCAAAGAACGCCCAGGGTAGGGGCCTCTACCCTGGGAGGAAAAAACTTTCTACTGCCTTCTAGCAAGCTCATAGGGCTTTGGATCTCCTTCTTCCCACTTACCCCATAGACCTTCCTTAGTCAAGGCAGGACACAGAGGCAGGCTCTTTGCAGCTTCAAAGGATTTGTCCACAGGTCAGCCTTAGTCTTCCTGTCTCCTGGGAAAGGGTAGCCATCTGGGAAGGGGCAGAGAGTGGTCCTGCCAGAAAATCTGTGAGGGTTCTTTCCCAGAGAAAATGTGACCTTCCTTGGCATTTCTCCCTCCCTCCCTCCCTCCCTCCCTCCCTCCTTCCTTTCTTCCCAGAACATACTGGGCCACCTCTCTCAGTCTAGCCTGGAAACTGACCTTTGCTGAGTGCTCCCTGAGAGCCAGGCTTTGTTCTGTAGCTTCCCAGCAATACCACGACACAAGTACAGAACCGAAAACAGGGAACCCCTAAGAGGTAGCTCATCTGATCACACTGGTGGGATGAAGCAGAGCCCAGATTCAAGCTCAGATAGTCTGGCTTCAGGACTACATATCCTCAAGCTCATTTGACTTCCAGGCTCTGTGAAAACACAGTGAAGGTGCTCAATCCTTGACTGGTTGGATCTGAACTGCCATCTGACCTGGAACTCTTCTTTTTTTATTTTTTTGGGTCCGGTCATGGGGCCTGAATTCTGGGCCTGGGCGCTGTCCCTCAGCTCTTCAGCTCAAGGCTAGCACTCTACCACTTGAGCCACTTCCAGCTTTTTTCTGTTTGCTTATATGGTGCTGAGGAATCGAACTCAGGGCCTCAGTCATGCAAGGCAAGCACTCTACCACTGAGCCACCTTCCCAGCCCCTGACCTGGAACTCTTCTACACCCACTAACACCCACTGAGTCTACCCACTCCAGCGCCAGAGAGTCCTCTTCCTGTCCTGCTTCTTGGTCCTCATATTAAGGCCCAGCCAGTCAAATCTCTGCAGTTCCCTCTCCCTTGTCCACCCTCTGCTAGGAGAGCCTCCATTCTCCAATGTCTGCCCTTCCATTCCTGTGAACAGGCTCCTTAGGTGTCAGCCATGGGTTTGGAAGGACATTTTCCTTTACCTGCTGCCCATGGGGGTCTGGATGTTAAGTGCCCCTACTCCTGCAAGCTGGAAAATCTGTATTTTTTTCCTCTTCTCCTCCTGCCTTCACCTTCTTATGACATTTATGTCTCATTTCCTGCTGTCACAGATCATGTTTCCCAGTTTTCTCATCTGGAAGATGGAGAAAATGGCAGAATGGACTCACAGGGTTTGGAGGCTCAGCCTGAAAGCCCAGCAGTTGGGAAGTGTAACAAATGATCTCACTGCCTTCTTTTCTCCTTGGAGAAAGATGCTGAAGGATGGGGGCAGGTGGGATGTAGGCCCGATCTGTTCGAGAGGGGTAAGCATGGTCTCCTGGGAAGAACAGGGAGGAAGAGCGCACCTTTGGCTGACTTTCAGGGTGGAATCTAGGCAAAGCCTTCCACTGATTTCAACTTGCCCCTCTAGAAGATTGGGGGACGTTGCTGCTTGACTGGGGAGTTGTGAGGAATAAAAGAGATAGTGCTAGAGCTGCTGAACACTGCGTCCAGTCCGCAGTGTGTTTAGAAATGGCCAGTTCTCCTCTCTATTTGGCCACTGAGGTTTGAACTTAGGGCCTTCCGCTTGTTCAGCTGGCACTCTTACCACTTGAGCCATACCTCCAACCCTGTGTTTTGTTGATTAATTGGAGATGTAGTCTCCTGGACTTTTCCTGCCCCTCTGACATCAAGCTGTGATCCCGTCTGAGTGGCTAGGATTGCAAGCGTGAGCTACT